CAAATTGTTTCCTCTTTAATTTGAATTGAGATACCTTCAAAGCAACTTTGCGTCAATGCGTTATTAATAAACAAAATTCTTGTCTGAATATTAGTTGTATTTAAAATTTCTCGTGCTCTGAACGAATACAAAAATAGATCATAGAAGATGTAATAATAGGTAACGGAGGATATAAAGTGGGGATGTGCTAGTCCAAACTTACTTGCAGCTGAGAACTAAGGTGATTTGCGAGGGACGACGCTCAACCTGATCGACTCGAAAGTTAAGACTCGTGTCTGATCACGGAGAACAGCTACGGTACGTGGAAGGGTCTTTTTGGGGCTTATCCCAACCCACCTCGTCAACATTCCCTGTTAGACTTTCGGCAGACTTTTCACTTATACTAAATTATGCTGTAACAGGAAGATGGATGCGGGTTAGCTTAAATTAGTATCTCCTGGTGGTAAGTATGAATATATAGCATTGTGACATATCCCAAGTGGTTTCCGAGTGAAGCTGAATAGGGGGCGCTGGTGGCGACACACTTCTTTCGCTTTTAATTTCGCCAGTGGCGCATGTAATTAGTCATGGAAATATATTTAATATATTCTTATAAAATGTTGTGTTTTGACACCCAATGTTGGTAATCCACCGTATTTCGTGTCTTCTTGTTGTTAACTCGAATCCTGAGCGCACAATTAAGATGATATTATTCAGAGAATGTTGGTAACATCCTCGCGTGATTCGTGGATAAATCTATTATCTTGACGCCAATCTTCCAACGTAGCTGTACTCCATGCATGCGTAGATATATATGCATGAGTCAGACTGAGCTGTATCCTTCGTAATTCAGCCTTCAATATAAGGATGATTAGCGCTCCCCATTGTCTCGTCAATAATACTTTTTGGAATTTGTTCTAGATGATTGGATTACTGTCAAAAAAGTAACACGCAACCCAGTTTTTGTTACCGCGGGGCAAACCTTGAAACTCAGACTTGACATTGAAAACGTGGACAAGTGGAACACGACTGCATTTTGGGTGTACGCCAAGGACTCCTCAAGAACCAGCCCTGAACATGATTTGCAGTTGATGCGAGATGTTGATTCCAGCAGTGAGACATACTTCTCGTACAATAAGACTCGTGTTTCACGCGAGAGACAGGTGGATTTAGTAGTGAACAGTATGACATTGGCTGATTCGGGAGTGTACCGTTGTAAATTTCGAAAACCAGATGAGGGTTGGAGCATTCGAGTAGATTACAACGTTATCGTGGAAGGTAAGATTAAGAAACTAACATTGTTTATACTGGATAACTCTATCAGTTCTAAACTGTTGTTAAAGGCTCAGTTAGAGTCATCGCTTATTTGTCCAGTGTGACCACAAGATGCAACCTGAACTAAACTAACTTTATCTACACATACCTGTTAAAGGCCCTTGTCTAAATCTTCAAAATATCTTTTAGAAAAGGGAGTAATTTCCCCGATAGATTTGCCGCCAGAGATAGTCTATATTACAAGAGGTGATACTCTCAAACTGCAATCAGATCTGCCAGATGTCACAGCTAGTTCTTATGGCAAAAACTACGAAACGTTCTGGGACTTTTCCCCTTCGTTAACAACAACAACACAAGAAGAAGCTGTTAGATTAATCGATTCGATGGACAGTTCCGTAGAAAGTTTGGATGTCAGGGCATCACTGAAAGAGAATGGCACAACATTAGTTTTGACAAATACGACTTTCAATGATAGTGGGGTTTATCATTTACGTATTCTGGGACCGTTGTCCACCACAGCTGTCCATAAGGATTTCAACGTTATTGTTGAAGGTATTAATTGTATTTTAGTACATTGCATTGCATTAAATGTACATATTCTCACAGCAGGAAACGCGAATGTGCATGGAAAACCATCAAACTGGAAACATGGTTAAAGAGGTTAAATTATCGGACAACTGTATATATATTGTTTGTGATGTTACTCTGAGTGTATATCCACACCGGGCGAGCTTGAAAAATATGCCCGACCACGGTGGGAATCGAACCTACGACCTTTGGAATACTAGCCCAATGCTCAGAGTAACATCACAAACATCACATTCACCTGAGTACACAGCACCAACACAGAAAAAATTGTATATATATTGCATTTGACATGTATTTAACATTGACATGTATTTCACAGATAAAGCAATTGCAAGCATACATTGTCCGCGTATAGTACGCTTGACAGAAGGGGAAAACTTTTTCTGCTTATGCGAGGACATCTCCACCTCTGAAGTGACAGCTCAAGCAGCTTGGCTCGTGGATGGTCAGACGTTCAAGCACTCGAGGCCATTCCATGAGGAAGAGTTATACCTTAACAACGTCACTGCTGCGGATGCTGGATTTTATACATGCCGACATGTATTTCACAGATAAAGCAATTGCAAGCATACATTGTCCGCGTATAGTACGCTTGACAGAAGGGGAAAACTTTTTCTGCTTATGCGAGGACATCTCCACCTCTGAAGTGACAGCTCAAGCAGCTTGGCTCGTGGATGGTCAGACGTTCAAGCACTCGAGGCCATTCCATGAGGAAGAGTTATACCTTAACAACGTCACTGCTGCGGATGCTGGATTTTATACATGCCGAGTCCGCACTGTCACTATGGTGGACGATATCACTTTGGAGGTGTTAGTCTTGCATGGTAGGTTTTGCTTATAATTTTTCCTTATTTTCAACAAAATTGCCAGTTTTACCGCATATTGGTATACATAAAGGCTATGTTTACATTGTATCGGATCACTTTGCGTCCGACGCAAGAACCATACCGGATAGGGCTTCTGTTTACATATGAAATGTTGTTATCGTCTCAGTTTCTGCAACGGATCGGTGGTGCGGCGGTTCGCTCTTCGAAGTGGTGCGCGATGTATCGGATCGCTTTTTGCAACGCTCTCATTGTAATGTAAACACAAATCGGAGCAATTTTCGGTTACATACGTGACTCAAGATGGCATCTGGGAAACAAAGACTTGCTATTCTAATCTTATTTGCGGGTATAGCTTTCTCACTTATAATATTTTTGTATTTAGATGGGCGAGGACGGAAGCTGTTTACACTTGGGCCGTAACGTTTCGTGAACGAAGCAAAAACCGATCCGATACCATGTAAACATAGCCAAAGTCACGAGCGTGCTCATGGGTAAAGTAAAACCCCGCATATAAGAACCTAGAATTTAAGAACCTGTTAGGCTAAAATATTGTATTTTAGATCCCCTTTAAATAAGAATCTGTTCAGGCTAGAATTTCAAAACAGATTTTTATATTATCAAATAGTCAAAATTAAATCATAAGTTACAATGAGTGTAGCTTTAAAGTGCATATAGAATCGCTATACTGCATATACTGTAATTTTTTAGACCATTTGTGCATAATTTTATATAAATCACATACCATACCTCCCTAATATGAGTCGCTTTTCTCTTAAGAAAATAAGAACCTATTTAAGAACATGTTTAGCCTAATTTCCTGGCAACCACCATTTACACTGTACATAAGAACCTGTTTAGGCTAACTTGGAAAATCTAGGTTCTTATATGCGGGGTTTAACTGTAGGCCTATATATATTGGATTTTGATGTAGGCTAATATATATAAGGATGCTCATGAATATACTGGATTTTGGTACATATATGAGCATGCTCATGAGTATACTAGATTTTGGTATATGTGAGCATGCAGGATGCTACCTATAGGTAGCAAGATTTTAACACGGCATTTAGAGTGGTATTGTCTATCATGACTATAGAGGCTCCTGTGCATGACATTAGTCTTCTTTAACCTATATATACATAGAAGCTCTCCAATTTATGATTCTCTTTCTAAACAGTTGAACAGGAAATGAAAGGGAACAAACCATCGATGCAGAAGTACCCTGATTGGTATTACCTTGCGGGATCCCTCGGTGTTGGTCTTCTCCTTGGCATGGCCCTAGTACTCATGATAGTATCCATTCGTCGAAAATCTCGCAAAACTAAGGGTGTATACGAGGATGTTCGCGCCTCGCCTGATCTAGAACTAGATATAACAGCACAGTACCAAGATATGAGCAGACAGCCAAATTTGTACCAGGAGACTGACGCTGAATCGACTTCTCCGTATGAAATTGCTGATCTTACATGTCCTATTTACATGGATATGAATGAAGCTAGAAAGCAGAATCAAGCAGGATGCTCCCATCAAAATGAAACCGCCCCAGTTCCTGGTTACACAGACTTAGAGTATCGAGATAGGGTTGATTCCCATCCTTATCAAGGCCTAGAGCAATACAGACTACCAGGGAATCGTGTGTAGATATCGTTTAATGGTTAAACCTTTTCCCGTACAATGAGAGGTATCTGAATTGGAACAAGAACTCTCAAATTAAGAATAACTTTAATATTCTAAATACTTTATGGTATCCTTGAGCTATGTCTTGCAAATTTTTCTTTCCATAAATTTGGAACGATGATTGGCAAACATATTTGCATCACTATAATTCTCTTAGCCGTATAGGTAGCTTTCATGCGTGCTCCAGTTCAGTACACATGAAGGGCACATGGAGACATTATTTGAATCGTGGTATTGCCTGAAACCCACAGCCTTAAATGCCTGACTCCACGAGCGCTTTTCCCTAACGAAATTCGAAAACGATTCGCGCGAATGATCGCATACGCAATAAAGATACATTAGGTTTCGCGAGAACAAATTTCGCTTCGCCAGTGCATGAGTACAGAAGTCAGTTCTACCAGAGTCTGTCAAGATATGATGGTCAGGAAGCTCGGCAAACTTTAAAGCCACAAAAAGAAGGCCTTTGCTTCATGTTGAACTGTACCTCACTGCGCACTAATCCTTTGTCTCAACTTCATTAAATATTATGATCGTGGTTACACGTTTCATCTCAGCTATCCCTATATATTGGACGGTTACTTCATTATACGAAAATACAATGAGCTCAATCACCGTGACCGTGCACAAATTAACATAAACTCAGACAAAAACATAATACAATGACTTCTCAGCCTCGTACCCAGGCGCTTTGATTGGCTTTGATGTTGCGTGACGCGCGCGCGGGAGGACACGCGTGGGGGAAAGGGTCCCGTTGTGAGCAACGCACCTCGATTCCCGCGCGTGCGTCACACAACCAGTTAGCACATCAAAGCGACTGGAACGAGGCTGATGACTTCTGTCTAGTTTCCAGACTATCGTATCTTGATAGACTATGGTTCTACTCACTGTAAAAGCGAAAAAACTGTGGGAAAATTCATGACATGTCAGTTTTGTAAATAGTTTTCAATATTCAAGCTTGTTTGCATCAAACCAATAAGATTTTAGCAACATTCGTAATATTTGTTAAATATTCCTCGCAAACTTTGAAGTATCTTCTTTTATAAGTAAATAAATTTATTTGAATTTAAAATTTGTTGATTATGTGAGCGATATAATATAACAGGCTGATGACTTCTGTCTAGTTTCCAGACTATCGTATCTTGATAGACTATGGTTCTACTCACTGTAAAAGCGAAAAAACTGTGGGAAAATTCATGACATGTCAGTTTTGTAAATAGTTTTCAATATTCAAGCTTGTTTGCATCAAACCAATAAGATTTTAGCAACATTCGTAATATTTGTTAAATATTCCTCGCAAACTTTGAAGTATCTTCTTTTATAAGTAAATAAATTTATTTGAATTTAAAATTTGTTGATTATGTGAGCGATATAATATAACCCTCTTAGACTATAAGTGGCTAAGCCTTCGAGCAGCATGCGTTATATACTTCGTCTTCCCGCACGGAAAACCGTTTCTTCACACGTCCGCGATGATATGCATGCCATATCTTTTGAACTTATTTTTGTTCCATGTTGAACAATATTGTGCGTAAATATAAGTTGTAAACACCGGAAATATTGTGCGCAGATATATAAATTGTAAACACCAGAGCCCGGTCGGCACAAAGAAAAAAAGCCACGCCTTGCCTGTGGCTGTATTGAGCATGTACGTCCACTTCAAAATTAATATAAACTGCGGTTTTGCGCGCTCTGTATTAGGAGTGTTTACATGGGCTAATATGAAATCTCAAGTGTAGAAGAAGGAAACATGTAAATCTGCTTCACAACGTTCATTTGTCGAGTGCTGCATCTGCATGGCTCGAACCAGAACGAAAAACTTGTATAATAGTTTTCTAATAAACTTTGTCTTCTAATTGTCTTCTAATTGTCTTCTAATTGCCTTTGCTGTCTTCTGATTGCGTATTAAAGGATTTAAAGGTGAGTAGATAACTTTAATTTTGCAAGGTTATAGCCCAGTCAATTATATCAATATACATAGTGTGCCTGGTAATCTAATTAATTAAAATAAATTGCATAATTTACCCGGAAGACGTTTTATCCCTGTAGGAGATACAGAAATGTTTCGTTAGTGACGATGCAACTGTTTCCCTTTTATTGGAGAAAATTAATTGGAATTTACAACCGAGTCGACAACTTAAATAAGTCGAGTATTTTTTCAATTGCACAAGAGTCCGAAATTCAAGAAAGCAAAATTCAATTGTGGAATCCATATATATTTAAGCCTACGTTTTATTTTCACTAAGACATGTTTTTCTTTTCCGGTAATGATTTATTAGAATTTGACTCTTTAACTGAGACTTGATCTGTGTGGATCTATGTTGATTTTTCTACCTCTCTGCACGATATTTCAGTAACTAGGTACACTTGTAGTTTATTTACAACGTTGCTATGAGCAACACGTTATTTATATGCGCTTACACAGCATGCCGAATATACAGTGCATGAGTACAGATACAATGCTGTTAATCTGAGACTGTTCTATCCCACGCAGACAATAAACAGACAAAAGCTTCAATGATGAGAATGCATTAAGTCTCAGAATTTTGTCGAGAGCATTCCCATCGGCCTTGCTTCCTATTCCGCAAGCGGAGCAAGGGACTGTTGAAGAGTCGGAACAAGATTAAACACTAGTAAGAGAGTTCCCAATTTTTTTTACTACATCAGAAATTATAAAACCAATTTTTTTCTAATACATTTTGCTGTTATATCATTGTTCTGTACTCCAGTGTCTATTTTTCACTTTTAGTCAATTGCTGGTACAAATGTGGCTCAAACATTTCAACCCGAAATATTTGTCATTCATGCTATGTCTTTTTCTCCTCGCACTCTCCTCAGGTTAGTAGCACAAGAAAATAGTCTACGCTTTCTCCTGTTTTAAATCTAAAGATTATAGCCGTACAATACTGTAAATAATGTGGTTTTTAGCTCGTTTTTACTGCAAGTAATATAGTAAAGCCCCCTACAGACAAGCAAGTTTCCTTGACAAGTTTTGAAGAAGAAGAAAAAGAAGAATTTATTCGCACCAGTCAAAAATACATAATTACAAATTTTTTTCCACACATTATTAAAACGGAGTTTGCACAGGATATCTGAAGTAGCTTTAACACTAATCGAAGTCAGATAACCTTATTAAAGTATTCGAGCCACTGTGGGTCAACATTGGGTTTAAGGTCATGGTGCACAATGATGATACAGATACAAATTAAAATTTATAGACATATGCAAAAACAAAAGCAAGCATAAAGTCAGTAATTGTTAATTATAAATTTGATTTTAGTTAATTTGAAAGCAAATTAAAACAGAAATAAGAATAAAAATAAAGCTAGTATTCATTAATAAATTTGATTTTAATTTTTTTTTGAAAACTGATTTAGTTAGTATTTTCAAGCTATTATTATTATTATTAATCTATATTTATACCTTATTATTATTATTAATCTATATTTATACAGGTTAAAACTTGTTCAGTTACTAAAAGCTGTTTTCCTACAAGAAGCTGTTAAATTAGATTAAATACATACAGTAAAAATATTGCATGCACGCGAGGCTTAAGCATGGCGTGACTCTCTTCAATTTCAAGTGTTTTACGATGTTTTTCAGAACAAGCAAATGGAGAATTCTTGGTACGAAGATCCTCTCCAAACTTAGTAGTAGTAGCCGAAGGACAAGCTCTTCAACTCGACATCATATTGAATGGCACTGATGAGAAAATGCCCATGCTGGTTTTCCTAGATTGGAATTTTCGTGCCTATCATTCAAGTTTCGTGAAGAGACTCTTGTCCGTGACGTGGGATCGAGGCTATGTTGTATCCGAAGAGTTCTATGATGAAAGAGCGTCGATATTGGACAGTGCAAGTTTGTTACTAGTTGAGACAACCTTGGAGGATAGTGGTACTTATTGGTGTAATGTGTTTTCGTTGCCATCACAACAACATCCTGTGTTATACTTTAATGTCACAGTTGAAGGTAGGCTGAGTGCATGCAGATGACACTTATTTTTAAGACGAAGACGATATTTCTAAAGGGGTGTTCGTGAATCGGTGATAATGAGTGCATGTGCCTTTTGTCTCTGAGACCGAAGATCTATTTCTTGCAATATGTATTTGTGTAATGATAATTTCACCTCATTCACATGTAAAAAGAGTGGCTCCTGCTTCACTCCACCAAACACTATATACAGGTCCTGCCTGAGTACCCCGATCTCCTCCTGTAGTAACACTGGGCTGATTAGGAATGGCCCTTCACGGACCTCTAGGGAGAACAGTTTAGAACTGATAGAGCTATCCAGTATAAATAAAGTTAGTTCAGTTTAAGTTTCCTCCTGTAGTAACACTGGATCAATAAGAGATGATACTTACTGGACCTCAAGGGAGAACTGATAGAGCTATCCAGTATAAAAAAAGCGATTTTAGTTTAGGTAGATGATTAATATCAGGAGAATTGATATATATATATAAGTGGCGTTTATGGTTGTATTATATTGTTTGTGAAATCTATTATATTATAACAAGATAAGCTTATATAGAAGTATCGCAAAAGTCTCTTTGGAAGACTTGATCAACATTACGTTATAAAATTTCAGGAAAACCAACAGCAGAAATAGATTGTCCTGAACAAGTGAACGTTACAGAAGGGAAGAATTTCTCATGTTGGTGCAATGCCCGCGGTGGCAATTTAACGGTCACAACATACTGGCAGATGACGGAAGCGCCCCCATTCCTCGATGGAAGAAAAAGAAATGGCAGCACGGAACTCTTCTTGAAAAATGTTAACAAACGTATGGCAGGGACATACATCTGCAGAGCACAGCTCTTTTCACTGGTGGATGAAAAGATATTGACTTTATCCGTTTTGTGTAAGTGGATAGATCCATTATCTTCTTGAAACTTCAGTCTGAGACAGTAAGGCGTATGGAACTGTAGAGGACTACATAAATTAAATAAGATCAAAGAATGCCATGACAACGATAAAAATATATCAAAATCTCCACTTGACTGCACTTATCATGAGATATCAGACTTGCTATCATCTCAAGCACAACAAGTGACTTCATAAAGTGTGATAGCTTTGGAATAAGATAGGATAGAAATAAGCTGTGACCACCATTCATTATTACTTAAAAGATATAGTCTAACACAGCAGTAATAACACGTTTCATAAACAAGCTTTACCTAAATCTAGCTTATAAAGAAGGGAGCTATGAACATTTTTTCAATATTTTTAAACGGTATTTGGTCTGATAATCCTTAACCGTTCTTCGTGTTTCGTTTAGATTCCCCTAGGATCCGCTCTTTTCGGGGGAAAGTTTTGAAAGATAACTCAATGAAGATGACTTGCCTTGCAAAAGGTTTGCCACAGCCAACCTATATAATCAAGACCTCAAACGGTTTCTCCTTCGCAGCAGACATTCACGGAGTGGTCATTATTAATGATTACAAGTCTGTTATTAATGCATCGTATACTTGCATTGCAAGGAACAGCGTGGGCTATGACCAGTGGCATTTGAATGGAATTTTAACTATTTCAAAAGGTAGGACGCTTAGAATTGCTTTACCCCTTGGCCAACCAAGGACTTTCTCACCTGCACTGTGAAGATTACAATTTAGAATTGCTTTAACTTATTGCCAACGGAGGGTTTTCCTGATTAGAATATCTAATATATAAACTAGCTGTAAAGTCGGCATTGTTCATATTTGATTAATCAAAATGTTCTGCTTATGATGATCTCAATGCCAGGACCTTTGGCTTCATTATCACTCTGGACCCACGATTTTCACGTAAAACGAGTCGTCAGTAAAGACTCTGCCGAAAGTCATGGAGGTTTCTTTAAGTGATCCGGCGTCTTCCCGTAGGAAATGTTGACAGGATGGGATAAGATATATGTATAGAAGTTGCTTCACGACCGAGAGTTGTGGGTTATCTCCGATTTCTCTCACACAGGGAATTTTGACCCAGTAGATTCACAACCCTATCAGTATTAGCTGCATGCAGTTAAGCACATATCATGATTAAATAAATGACATTATTTATTTATTTTATTTTGTTCTTGTCCCATTAGATGAAACTGTCATAAATCGCAAATCTTTCCTTCAAGATCATGTATGGTATATTATCGGTGGCTCCGCCACAGCTGGGATTCTATTTGGTTTTCTCTTATTAAAAATATGCCAGTCGGTCGTCTGTAGAAGATCGAGAAGACACGATCAAAATGAACAAGACTTCCCTGTATATGTCGACCCTGCTTCTCTACCTATTTCACAAGGACGTAAGAACGACCCCCTGAATTATATTGATGTTCATGCCTTACCAAGCATTCCGCAGGGGGGTGTAAACGAAAACATGCCTGTCTATGTTGACCCAGACACCGTTGTTTCCGCAAGAGAGAGGCTTAGAGAGGCTAGAGACGAGAATCGGGCAGTCGAAGACGTTCAGGCTAAGGAGCTTCCCAAGGATGATGGCCGGGTGTATCAGGCACCAGATGAGTCGCAGGCAGACGAGGGAGGGGAAAGTGATGTTGACGATAATCGGGCGGAAGAAGACATTCAGGCAAATCCTGAACCAGAAGCAACAAACAGACAAAATAGTTCGCCAATTACTCACCGCAAACCCCGCGCGAACACACAGCCAATGATGGGTTACCAAGATCTTGATAGCTCGGACGAAATTGAAGAAAATTTCTATCACAGTTTGCGGTCGGCCAGCGAAGGTCATCCTTATGAGTATTATGTTAACGAGAGAGTGAAAGACAAGGAATAACGTTTCTTGTTGTTTTCCTTGGAACACATTGGCTTTTTTTTGTTCATTCTTGGACAATTTTACTATGTGTACTCTTTCTCTGTTATATACGAGAGTTTGTTAGTCCATTTTATCTGACTCAATGTCTATTTTATTTGTCAACCACAGGAGTTAAATTTGTAAGTAAACGATCTTCTGAACTCATCTTTTTGAATGTGATATTTGAAACAAAATGAAAAAGATCGTTAATATGGATTCCGATTCGGTTTCCTTTGACAAACGCTTTCGGAAATTTTCTTTGATATAGAGATAATCGAAATATTGTGGCTTAAAATTACGTGGGAAGAGCGCTTGAATAGAATTACTAAACAATATGAAAACAGATTAAATAAATTACTTAAATAACTTAAATAATAATCTATAGCTATACAACATGAGCTTTCTTGTTAAGACAGAAAGCCGCATGATTATGCTATTATTTACATAAATGCATATCATAGTATGATCATATTCAACAGAATACTCAATAGAATAAGAAGTTTAGGAAACTCAATGGAGACCTCATTATTTAATATGTTTTTGTACGTCTTGGTTAATGCAAGAAATGATCGGTTCATCGTCACTTGTGTATTGTTTTTTTCACCCAAACAACCAATATCAGTGTGTTGGTTTAATTACCCAGCCGTGATATTACACAATGGTTAAATGAAAACATAGCTATTGGTTCCTTTAGCGAAAATATAATACACACGTGACGATGAACCAATTACTATTTCTTGCATAAACCATGCAAGAGAAAAACATAGAAAATGAGGTCTATTATGTCTCCATCGAGTTCTCTAACCTTCTTATTCTATGGACTTTAAAGAGTACCTGTGATTATTTACCTCAAGTGAATATTCTACACAAAACTTTCTTCAGGAAAGTTTCATACGAATTTATTTTTGTGTGGTTGATTTCCTTTTATATCCTTTATCGGTGTTAAAATTGTGGTCAAAATCTAGACTATGCAGTATGCTATATATACGAGATGGCTTTTATTAAATGGAAAACACCCTCTTTTAATCATTTCTACCTTACATCACGCGTTTAAACTAGAAAATGTTGTCCTCGTCTGAGGACCACTAACCTGACATGGGAACCTAAAAAGCAACATACTATTAATTTACGTCAAAACGACGGTACAAGAGTCGGTCAAAACGAGTCAATTTGTCCCAAGAACGACGCCTTTGCCATTATTTTGATTGTTTTGACTTTATATTTTGATTCTTTTGAATTTTTTTCAGATTTATGAAGTTTATCGCCCACATGCAGGCGCTATATCATGCTGGTTTAAACGCATGCATTTGCTTTCTGCGCAAAGAAAACGGAACAATCTGTTCCCATACCCTTTTCTCACCCTTTTCTAAGAACAAAGTATGCGTTTTTACCATGAAATTAAACTACTTGAACCTATTTTCTTAACATTTCAAGAAGGGTATATATAGTTGACATCGTAATTTCATTGGCATGGATTCTGCTTGTTTGTCAGCCCCCCGCGCGTCTGCTCCTAGCAACAAACAATCGCTGAATAATGGTTTTGGAAACCTATCACCATAAAGTTTGTGTTTTTATTGAAATTTTTTAAATGACTTCACGGACCATTGATTACTGACACTGTTTGATACTGTGTATAGTTGAACGTAGGCAAACGTACTCAATATATTGCCGGCATTCAAACATTATATAACATTTAGCAGAAGAACGAGGCAGATGATTTTCTTAGATCCAAAATTTCAGGTTTGTATATGTTTTCTTATTTTAAACAGTTAGATGATAGTTCATGAGGTTACATAAATTTATTATAATTATATTTTAAGAATATTTGCGATCTCTATGTCTGTGTTCTCTTTCAATCTACTATATCTGCATGTATATTAAAAGTATGAAGATCTTGACACCTATTTTTCATGTATAGACAAGCCGTGAGTTTCATCTTCCTGTCTTAAACAATACAAGTGTAAAGTTAATTGCTTTTTAGATTAAGTTTTATTGTAAAATGTTGTCAATTAGTTACGAAATACCATTGCGTGAAACTGCAAGTACGGAATGCATGGTATACCATGGGCAATTGGAACATTCTTTAAGGTGGAGTAATACGGGCAACAAATTTGCTGCAACTTGCAACAAAATCTGATTTCAACGCATGTTAGTAGAAATGTCGACACATGTTGCCTTGTGATTTGTAATTTATGTGTATAAACATTTCCATTCACATGCGTAGAAATCAGATTTTGTTGCAAGTCGCAGCAATTTTGTTGCTCGTATTACTCCAGCTTTATGTACACACGCAAGCGCAACAAATGCAACAGCCAAAGTACGTTTCCATACGTTTTCGAACACAACAATCGTCTACAATCAGTTCGACAATAATCATCTATATAATGCCGTGTTAACTTAAGGTCAACGTTTTAAGAGTAAGTCTTTCCTCAGAGAACAAAATCCCGTACAGATGAGTCAGTTAACTTATTTCTAACAAGAAATGCTTCTTCTGGCAAACAAAAGACTGTCTTGACGTGAGATATGTGTTTAGCAACATTTGTGCACACAGCAAGAAGGTAAAACTGTCGAGGGTATCATTTAATATAAAAACATCTTTTAATATAAAATCATGCTTAATTTGAATTTTTACTGTAGATGCTTGTCATTTTGATTCTCTTTCTGGTTTCAACTTCATTGCAACAGGGTAAGAAACTTGTGAATATGAACCGATATACAGCATGTTTTATAAATTGGAACTTTTATTTGCCCTCTTATATTTAAGCAGTTAACAGGAGATGATTTCTGTATATTTAATGACCATAAATATTTGTCGAGAAAACATTGCTTGCCAATTAATATCCTGAGCAGAAAGTTCTCTAAAAAGTTAGAAAACTTGTTCACCTGGACTATATCAAAGAAATTATTTCGCTCTAAACTGCCTCCGAACATTAGAGATGCTGTTCATAAATGAGACGAGCTAACCCGCCTCGCTGCTGAAATGCTTAGTCTACTTAGTCAGGTATCTTTGAACTGTCTGTATACTAGTGTAGGCAGTTCCAATGGTATGCATGAACAAGCTTTCGTTTGGTAGGGATGCAACTGACTTGAAAAATATAAGGAGAATTTCGACGTTTCGAGCGAAGGCCTTTCGTCTGGCTCCTTATATTTTTCAGGTAGTTGTATCCCTACCAACGAAAGCTTGTCCATAGTCGTGTATTTGCCTTTCGCGATGTTTCGCAATGACATCATTTTATAAATTGACTATTGTTGTACAATAGGAAGGTCAATGAAGTTCGATCGTGGGTATCCTACTTACCTTATAGGGCTAGAATGAGTGGATTTTATTAAAACGTGTGATTTAGTTGAAGTCGACTGGGAAATAATTAGTTTTGCGTTCTTTAGTGAAGGTATACTTAAATCCCAATTTCGCCAACCACCCGTGGCGTTCTTTGTTTACAAAAGTCGGGGATTTTTTTAGATTTTTTTATACCCAACCGCAAAGCACCTTTTGTACTTAAATTAGCACGGACATGAAATAGTTAAGATAGTTTCAAGCGAAGAATCTTCCTTGATTTTCTCAGAAGATGTGAAACAAATACCTGATATCGTATACGATGAACTGAATATCAAAGACAAGGAACTCCTGAACAAATTAAAGAAATATGAAATTGTCCATCCTGAAGATGTAACACCTACTGCCAATGAATTCCCAGATTTTTATAGCCAGGTAAATAATTTTGCTGTGGCTGTTATTCTTTAATTTGGTTTCTGTTATCAATACAGGGTCCCCTCCTTGAAAATCCTGGAAAGTCCTTGAATTTGTTAAAAAAAATCCAGGCCTGGAAAGTCCTTGGAAACTGATAAGGTCCTTGAAAGTCCTGGAATTTTTTTCAGTAGGCCGGAAATAATTGAAGAATTATTACCAGCCCAAGGATTATTGCCCAAATGTTTATTTTCTCCAATTTCAATTAAAATTATGTATAACAATTGTCCAAAAGTTGTTTCGATGTCATTTTTTTTCTAATTGCATTCCTTAAGGATAAAAGTTAGATGATTTTCAAAGATTTTTCCAGTTGCCAGGTCCTTGAATATACTGAAAAGGGTCCTTGAAAGTCCTGGAAAAGTCCTTGAATTTCATCTTCACTAAAAGGTGACGACCCTGTCAATTGTTCTTGAAATATATTTTCGATGTTACAGGATGAGAACGTTGAGAGAAGTATATCTTTCCAGCATAATGGGAAGAACGTAGTCCTTGATCTTGTTCGAAACAGGTATGCTTTAGATATTCTTTTCATCTTTTATATATTATAGCCAATAGCTGGCCATAATAGATCCCGCGTTTGTACTGAATTGAAAATCTTTCTTGTTATTTACAGAAACTTGATTTCACCTCGATATAAGGAGAGGTATTACCTTCCTGATGGAGAGACTGTTTTGAGAAAGGTTTGCTAAAAATCTATACATTCATGATGCGAGTGAACGTGGGTAGTATCAGGTCATTAATGTTCTTGGCCTTTATTATTTCTTCTTGTAGCGAACACACGACTGTTTTTTCCACGGTCATGTACGGAGTGAAGAGAATTCAAATCTTGCACTGGCCACATGTGAAGGTTTTCAGTAAGTTGATTTTTTATACTGGATATTTCTGTCGGTTCTATACTGTTTTCTTTATATAGAGAATGATAACGCCATCACTTATTTATCCAGAGCTACCTCAGGAATGGACTTATACTGGATAGCTCCTGTTCTAACAGTTCGTGGTTTGTTTTTGTAGTGGTTACTTCAGAAGAAATGATGAGACTTTCTTTATTCAACCATTGTTTGACCACGATCAAAAGGTAATAACTTTAATATCTTTCATTTTACCCTTACTATATTTATTTTTATTTATTTATTTATTTATTTATTTAATATACCCAAAAACAGGAAGAGCGCACCCACAGAGCCGAAGCTCCAATAACGGGTTGTATTTGACGTGGAAAATTATTATTTGCATTTTTTCAGAGAGTCGCTCATATCATCTATAGTCCGAATGATATCATGGGAAAGAAATTTCAATGTCGTAAGTTAAAAGATATATATTGATTTCATTATTTCAAGCGGATGGAAAGCCTTTTTACGTTTTACAACCCAATTCGGCGAGGGTTAGTGAGTTAGTTCTTTTACAATGCCTACAACAGTTAGTGTGTAGTATAAACCGAAATAATATGGTATATAAAATACGATATCATTGCTTAAAGCATTTGATCATATATTTATTTTCAGCTCATGATGGTGTTCAAACGAACAAAAGTAGCAACGATTTTCTGAATCTGTTTCCTCTAAATAAACATCATAGAGTAAGATCATATACTGTACTTACTTCAAATAGAAGTTACATTCTAGTTTTGTGTGGCTATAATTTTACCTCGTTCGTTTGTACGAGGAGATACATCCAGTTTTTACTTTACCTAAAACAAAGAGATTATTCTTACATAAAACTGGCTGAGCTATCCAATATAACTAAAGTTCGTTCAGTTTTGGTTTTCTCCTGTAGTAACACCGGATCAATAAGGAATCCCTTTCCTGGACCTCTAAAAGGAGAACAGTTTAGAACTGATAGAGCTATATCTATAGTAGAATTAATAAAGGTTATATCACAAGTCATGAGCATAATGTTTGAAAATTCCATCATGATAAAAATTTTCACATGCTTTTCCAGTCTCGTCGTGATGTCTTGACAGAAACGAAATATGTCGAACTGATCTTAGTGAATGATAACAGCCAGGTAAGTATTTCGCCTTTGCAAATAAATGAAATAAGATGCATGAAACAAATCCTTTTAAACATTTAAAAAGGCCGTTCAAACGGAGCCAATTGTTGGTCCAACGTCACCAAACATTTTTGGATGCAACCTTGTTGGCTTCGTTTGAACATTGTGCATGCACCATGACCTTACACTTAATGTTCACCCACAGTTGCTCGAATACTTTAATAAGGTTATCTGACTTCGATTAGCGTTAAAGCTACTTTAGATACCCTGTGCTAACTTTATCTTAATAATGTGTGGAAAAAAATTGTATCATTTAATCATTATGTATTTTTTGCTGGTGCGAATGAAATTCTTCTATACTTCTTCTTCTTCTTCCCTTGACTGTCATTCTGTACTCGTTACCTCTTAAGGAGTGCAATAAAGATGTGTTTTAATCTTTTTACAGTTCCGACACTACAGCAGTGATATTGCCCAAACTAAACTCAGAGCTATCAGTATAGCTAATGTTGTTGATTCGGTAAGTTGGAGTCTATATACGTTTAAAGCTGCATCTAGGTAGATTTACTCAATACTATCGTGCAGCAGATGGTGGCCAGCCTGCTGTTATCAGAGTGAAACAATTATATTAATTATTCATATTATTTGTTGTAGTCCCCAGTTACACGATTCCTCATTCACTTTTTACGACATCAACATTTGCCATTCGAGAGCAACGTCTGCATGGTGATAAAATTTCCCTCTTCTATAAGTGTGAGCAGTTTTGAAGTTGGGCGCCATCTGCTATCCTTAACGCTTGCTATTCGGATCATGCCTGTATATGTAGTACCTCATTGTAAATGCACGAAAAAACACACAGATTATCTATTTTAGATCTACAAAGTTCATAATATCCGTATTGCTTTGGTTATGATTGAAACCTGGACAAGTGGTGATCAGATATCGGTTGTCACGGATTCCGATGCAACATTGACAAGTTTCACAGCTTACAAAAACAATGTCTTGGATGCTAATGACGAAACGAAGGATCACGATAACGCTCAGTTTCTTTCGTATGTAATTTAAGCTGTGATGTTGATATATTCATATGTGTGTGCTGTTATACACACGCAAAAATCTCGCATCTTGTATAACAAGTTTGTCAACAAGCCGTCAACAAGTTGTCTTCGCACTGCTTGTCACAAGTTGTCAACAAGTTTGGAACAAGCTGTTAACAATTTGTAACAACAACCTGATATTATCAGGCTTGTTACAAGGTTGTTCCAACAAGTCCGATACAGTTATGATATAGCAGTATTATTACAACCTTGTGTCATCAACCTTGTAACATTCTTGTTTATCATGACTGTATCAGACTTGTTAGAACACCCTCTGTATGACAAGTCTGAAAATACCATCAAGCTTGTTACAAGTTTTTAACAGTTTGTTCCAAACTTGTTACAACAACTGGCAACAAGCAGTGCGAAGACAACTTGTTGACAGCTTGTGAACAGATTTGGAACAACTTGTTTGCAGACTTGTAACAACTTGTGCGTTTTTACGTGTGTAGGTGTGATGTTCCGTATAATCATTGGTAATGTCATTACAGGCAAACAGACTATGACCAGAACGTGGCTGGTTTGGCAAATTTAAAAACAATCTGTGACCCGGATAGTTCTACGGGTATTGATTCGGTAAGTGGTGAATGGCTTCTTGTCATGTTTTATAGTGCATAATAAGGATATAGGATTGTGATTAGAATCAAGGGGAAGAGGCAGATTACGGCACCTGGGAAGATTATCTTCGTTTGGATGACAGGCTTTTGTGTTTAAATAAAGTTCACTCACAATAACATTTGAAACATATTGACTGTTCCCGAATGTTAAGCCTGGTTTAGATAGATAGATAGATAAAAATTTTATTTAAGCAGGATAACCCTGTCAGCACGAACTACATGCTGGTATCAATAGGGGTCCTGCTAAATTACACTATCAAAGTTTCTGTGCACACAGTGGTAATTTTGCATCGGTAAATAACTAAGGGAACTAACTTAGTAATAAACAATAAGTCATTTCCCTTAAAAAAATTCTTATAAATCCTTCCAAACATAGATAGCATTTACCGATGCAAACTTCCTACTGTGATGACAGAAACTTTGAGAAGCTTTACAGTGGGAATGATGTTGTTTTCATTTGTATCTTATAGGATGCGAATTCTAATGCAGCATTCACGGGTTCTGTGATGGCACATGAAATGGGACACAACTTTGGTCTTGAACACGATGACAGTAAATTATTTTTTCTTTATTTTTTATCAATTATTGTTAATGCTATTCAGCATTATCTTCTATAGCACCATTTCAAAGTTGCTTTTATAGCTACTATTTTTATTTTCTTAAGGTTGCACGCAATGTCCAGCATCAAATGGTTGTGTTATGAATGCTGTTCTAAGGTGACTTGTTTTGCCATTAAGATCTTTAAACTTGCAGTTTCAGCAGAAGCTTTCGAAGGTCCTTTTCTAGCCAGAAGATACAGATCAACATGATCCTAGAAGATGCCAGAATTCCCTGTTTATTTTCGTGCTGAAGTGAATCATGCGAACGCAAAGATTTCCCCAATTTTTCCATTACATTCTTAAATATACGGAAAAACTTTCATATCTTTTCTCAAACTATATTTTAAATATTTTAGCTTAACACCACCAGAGGAATTTTCCCAGTGTAGCATTAATGATCTTAATGATCTGCTTTTGGAAAATGTTGGACATTGTCTCTTTAACCAACCAACAAAGGTACATTGTAAAATATCCGCTATCCAGTTCGCGGTTAAGCAAAAGAAGCAAAGCAATTAATAGTTAGCTACAGGTTGACCATCATCTGGTGTATCTGCTATGATTAGTGAAACTTGCCTATAACTGGCTTTGTGTACGGATAACTCCACATTCCAGTGAAATTTATATATTCCTTTTTATTCCAGTTGGCAACAGACGCAGCCTGTGGCAATGGTTTCGTAGAGGATGGAGAAGAATGTGACTGTGGTGCACAAGAGGTGAAATTAAACTTAACTATTCCCTAGCCGTGTTTCCCAAAGGTAGACAAACTAGGAAACATTGTTTCGTGGACAATCATGTTTTTCAAAGGTGGAAAACCAGGAAACATGGTTTCCTAGCCATGTTTCCCGAAGGTGATATTATACTATTCTAGTAATATTTTGAAATCTTCTTCAGGACTGTGAGCGTGTTAACGACACTTGCTGCAATTATACTTCATGTATGCTGAATGACGAAGCCCAATGTGCTGACGGAGTTTGCTGTAGTAACTGCCAGGTAAGGAATGAATATACTGTTGTGTGCAGTAACTAGAAATGAATGATCTTGTATTGCATGGAATAATATGGCAGGAAACTGTACTTGTGCAAAGAACGGTCTTATTTGTATCCTAAACTTTATTAGCCAACGTGTTGATCTTGACTCTAACCTTTACTTATAGCCTTTACTGTAAAGTGGCCCTCTTCAATTTTTGTTTTTCGCCGTAGTTTATCTCTAGAGGTACAGTTTGTCGTGAAGCTGTGAATTCGTGCGATGTACCGGAGTTTTGTAATGGAACCAGTGAGGTGGTAAGTGCTTACGGTATTACATACCTGTCTAAGTTTTGGAACCAAAGCTCTATATAGGGAAGTTGATATTATACTACTTCCTATCAGAACCTGAAAAAAATGTTTAAAGTTGCTTGGATCCTGAATTTGCTTTTTTCAAATGTTCCTCTAAAGTGCGTAAAACTGGAAAATTTGACCGTACGTTACGCCATTAGGGAGTTTAAGCTTCGTGTTCAAACGTCAAATGGCAAACGCTAAGGGAAGAAAAAATTTACGCTGCAAGATAATAAATGGGAAATCAACTTGCTATTTTAAGACTGTAATGTATGATGATTCTTTAAGCAAAAATTCTGCCAACAAAATTCGACTATGCCGTATGTGTGCGACGACAAAGCATACTTGAATGTCTTTATGTTACATGTCCCATAACCTATGTCTGAAAAGTTGAAGAACGTTCTTCAATCTTCTTGCTAAGGAGGGTTACATTTAGTACGTAAGCAAAAAGTTTCGAAAATTGTACCCCTCCCTCCCCCTTGTACACAAAGAACAATTGAAATGGCAAACATTTTGATTCCCCCTTTCCCCTTAGTTCCGTAGGTACCCATGTCTGCTTTCTGCTCTTGATTCCATTTCTCTTTTTATCTCATTTCAGTGCTCTGATGATCTGATTGTTGTGAATGGTTTACCCTGTACTGAGGTCCGGCACTGTTTGCAAATTTTGTCTTCTAAGCCAGTGGCCGGTTGTTCAAAGCTGGGTTAGCTTAACCCTAGGTTAACCTAAAATTCAAAGCAAACTTCCTGACAGCTTGTCTATAATTTTGGAAATATTTCTTCAGAGATCTTGTCCGGATCGATAGGAGTTTACTTCTCTCACGTTTTGAAATAAACAGACGTGCACAAATACACAAACTAAAACAGCAGGTTAAATTTTAACCCGGGTTTCGCGCTAACTCACCTTTGAACAACCGGCCCCTCATGACGTTACCGCATAACAGAGAGTTTAAACATGCGAAACTTTTAGACCCACGCGTACAGAGATGGCGAAAGTAGTTCTTGAGATCACGAAAGTGGACGTTCTTTATTTTCAGAACTGCTGGCGCCATGATAAATGAATGAATTGTGTACTCGTGACGTCCTTATTGACACTGAGTAGAGACATACAGAGACGTAACTAGTGTACCCACTTTACGGAGGACGTAAAACCTAAAACTATGTTGGTGAAGTTCATTCAGCTCAGATTAATATTGTGTGTTTTATATGGACAATTTTTTATCTTTCTATAGGGTTATTGTTACGAAGGGGAATGTAGAACTCATGATCATCAATGTACTGAATTCTGGTCTGGCGGTAGGTTTCCGTTTAATTTTCCTGTTAAAACTTAATTGCTTTTGTGCTTCATGTATGTCCGCCTGTCCCGTTCTCGCCTTTCCGACCACTCCGGAATTATTGATTGGGTGAAAGGCATCAAAACGTCCTGTTTCGTTGCTGCTGGACCGACATGTTTTACTGGTTCGAACGGACTTTAAGTTTTGTTTTGTGCTTCAATAGGTGCTTACAAAGCGGACGATTTCTGTTACGAATTTGTGAACACAGGTAGTGATGAATTTGGTTACTGCAAGAAACTTCCAAATGATACATACATGCCTTGTGCAGCAGAGTAAGTTGCTAAACTGTTGAACATATCCACCGAGTAAGATCATCCATAATCATCAGCATTTCTACAAGCGTAGAAGCTGTACTGAATAGGGTTTCGGCGGCGTGTCACCTCTGAGTTAGTGGATCGACTCTTGCTGCAGACACGTATGAAAAGAGTCCTTCAACGCTCTGCCGAAAGACGTGGGTTTTCTCCGGGTGCTCCATTTTCCTCCCACAAGGAAAGTTGACAGGGTGGGTTAGGATAAACATAGTTAAGAAAGTAATAAAAAGATGAAAATAGTTAAAATAAAGCCAGTTTTCCGCTTCAAGAATACCGTACCGAAGCGTATCAAAAACATTTTTAAATTTCGAAATTTAGTGAACATTAATTGGTTAATACTTCCGTAGTACGCCAAAAAGTTGACTTGCCACGAACTTTTTATTTTGATAACCTCTTTTCAATTTGCGC